TAAAATATTAATATTACAATCTAGTTACATTTGGTCCTGAAGGCAATACATTACTTTCCTGTAGCATGTTTTTTTTATAGTATTCTCTCCTGTAAATATTTGCATATTAGTAGCAGTAAAGTGGAAGCTGATCTCCTGTGTGGTCTGACTTACTGAACTGGGTGTGTTGGCATGTGCGCAATTCACTGATCTGTTACTTTTCTACAGCAGGTCACCTCGACCTCTGCCACCCCTGCAGATTATACTTCTTCAATGGTACTTGACGTATTTGCTGACTTTGTTTAACTACTCATTATATTATCCAAGAAGTAATGGAAGAGGTGAAAATTAACAGTGAATACGTTATCTAAAACAGTTTAATATAAGTTGAATGGAAAAAATATATATATATTTATGTATAAAAAGATTAAGGACAAAAATAACATTACACCACAATTATCTGTTCTTTTATTGTATTTTCTATCAACTCCAACCCTTTTATTTCCTTTTTTGTATGTACTCCATATACCAATTTAACATATCTCTTATACAACAATTACAATATCATCAATTTTCCATCTCGCAGTAAGGTACATGGACTACTTAAGGCCTGCCAATTTGAGACAGAGCTTCAGGCAATTATAGCAAAACCCTGCAGTAATTTAAGGGTTCCTAAATACCTACCATATTACCTGTAGACATTACTACTTCAGTGAATATAAAAGAGTGACATGGTTTATGATCTGAATGTGTTTACAGTTGATATTAACTCATCAGCATTACAGTAGCAGGCTGGTTTTCACTATGTGCTGTCAGAGCCTGTCTGATCCACACTTCTCATAAAGCCGGGGCTGCCACATGTCGCTGTGGTGATGACAGAAGTGCCCTCTCTGAGCCCAGACAGTCAGGCCAAGTGGGGCCAAAGACAGAGAGCGGTGGTGAGGAGGAGAGGGGGAGTCTTCACTCAGGCAGAATGTCAACATATTTGACTGAGGAGGAGGTTGGCTCTTGTGTAAAGAGACAATGGAAATATCAGCACTTTAGGAGTCTGTCAGTTTAACAATACAAAACAACTGTTGTTATGTTGCAAGAAGTTTGGTTTACAGTGGTCTGCAGTGGTCTACACCTGCATTTGATATAGTAGAGTCACATTAGAAAATCTCAACAATTTGACAAACATGAATTTTGGAAGTTTCTTACTTCCAGTTTCTTACTTTTGCAGCTGTTATTTCTTCATAGACAATAAGTGATGTTCCTCTTGTGCATATTTTTAACTACTTTTTTAGTATTATCTTATCAATATAAATCACTTATACAACAGGTGGGGCCATTCAGTCTTAGAGGGATTAAAATAACACTTTGCTTTTATTCCAGTTTAGTTGCCCTGGTACCAAATTGACCTACAGTTTCCAATGTGTTTCTATCTTTAGTGCTTCATAACTAAAATATTTGAAGGGAGGGCAGTATGATGATATGATATGATGCTATTTATTATGACTTTTAACTGGTCCCAATCTCAAATAGACATGCAGAGGATGGACTTGGATAGACTTGATTATGGTATCACATGATTTAGCCTATAGTAAGACTTCTGTTGTTGAATTTCTGTTGAGTTCATTTATCCAAAAGTGAATTAGCTGTTGAGTTATCATTGCTATAGATCATTATGATAACAGCTGGCTTCTGTATCAAGCCTCTGTATTATTGATTCAAATGCACTGTACTTTTTAACAGGCAGCAGAGCAATCCCCATATAGGCTTTGCATGTATGTATTCAAATGTAAATTTACAAGGACGACCATCTCACATATTTCTCCTAAGATTTCTTGACTTAAGTGTTTTCTAAAGTGAAAAAGATATACAAGTATATACTGAGTTCAAGTCAATTTATCTCATGCATTTTTTTTTTAACTATGCCATTTTTACAGTGCATCTAAGTTCTAACTAACTGTACTAATTTCTTTCCATGTAGCTGACCAAAATGTGTTTTGCCCCAGTACAGATGAATTGTATTGAATTATAAAGAGAAGTGGAAATGAGACCGCTATGTGCTGTCTGCATCTGATTATATAGTGTTTTATTCTCTGAGAATGAGGAAATGACAATGATGCGCAGTTAGCATGGTAGTTGTTAAGAGTGCATCACCATGACTGCAAAACTCATCTCTGTTTTGCGCTCAGGCCTCTGAAAGTGCTTATAAACTCATCGTAGTGAATAATGAGGAAGCTAAATATACACTTAGGAAAGTTTGGATCACTGCTAATTGTTTAAAATAAATCACGTATGTTTTTCAAATTTTAAGACAGTAAAAATCTGTTTAAAAATTCATCCATTTGTCAAGTCAAACAACTTCAGTCCAGTTTCACTTGCAGCCTGTACTTAGCTCCTACTCTTTCCAGGCCGCAGTAACAGTCCCTGACATCTGGTGCCCATGTACCCATGTGTACTTCACTGTCCCTGGGAAAGACAGTCGTGGCTGCTGAGAGTGAACTCAATGTGCGGCCTGGAGAACACAGAGCTTAGGTCACATTTGGATCAGATGTTTTTACAGCCTGCTAAGAGATCGCTAACATGCTTTTCTGCTACTAGGCCTGATAAAGTCACAAGTAAATTTAAGATAAAAAGAAAACTGTAAGAATGGATTTTACTTCATGGATTTAATATACAGACTCAGACATCTTACTTTTTCCACCGTGAGTAAATCCACTGTGAGTAAATCCATAAATCCAATGTTGATGAGATTAAATGACTTGAACATTTGTGTTGCTTGCACTGCTCTATCAGATTGTGTTTTTCTCATTGTTGCCCTTTGAAAACACCAGATTTTGTGGATTGTTTAAAAGTCCACTATGTAACTTTTCTTGTGAAATGGCCACCACCTGTTTATTTCTGTCCCTAAAATGTTCAACAGTATGGCATTTAACTTATTTTTTTCTCTGTGGATACAAGCAGGTGACGGAGCAGGTCAAGTGACAGGCCAGATCTGTGGAGAGGTCACCCTGTTGAAAGATGTTGTAAAAAAGATAACTTTACAGGAATTCAAGAACATCCCCACCAGACAAGTTGTAAAGTGTGTGTCACATTAAGTTAAATGCATGAATCAGATGCCCAGACTGGTTAGTCATACTTGAGTGGACATTTCCCCAAATACTGGTACATTTTTAGTACTTGACTAATCCTTGGACCACATTTTTTTCTTTGGTAATAGTAGTAACCACTACTTTTGCTTGAGTATAACTGTGGCAACTTTACCCACTTGTAACACAATGCTACTATTACTATTACCATATTACTCTTACTAACTTTCAAACCAACATTTTATCAGTCAGCTTTCTAACAGTGTCTTTCAACATTACATCATTATTATGTGTTTGTATTTACCGGGTCATTTCTGGGTTTTTCCCTTCTCTGTGGTTAAATTTAGCGAACAGGAAACGTCCCACATATCCCGGTGAGAGAAAGCAGCCCACTATCTCATGGCCTTAACCTCAAGTTCCGAACTCCACTGTTGTGTTTGCATTCTCAGTCATTATGTCAAAGATAACTGCCTGGTTTTTCACTCACTAATGCTGTTCATTTTGAGCCTGCCATACTCCAAACTGCCTTGTCCCATCATCAGTCACCTCCTTGTAATGCTATTAGGGGCTGTCTCATCACCTCCATTTCACCCCGAGTTTGGTCTTGAAGGTTCAGGGCCCATATGGTCTTCTGGAGATAGCCTGTGTACCCATAACCCCCTCGATGGACTGATAAACCCTGACCCATGACACTTTTAATAATCTACTTCCCTCCTTCGCTCACCCACTCAGCCTATGTCATCCATATCTTTCTCCCTTATGGCGTCTCTAGCTATTTATCAGACATTTATTGATAAGAATAAACAGTATCTAATTTATTCAGATCATTCTCCCTATACAAATTATGTCTGGATTTGTGTTATCTTAAGTGACATAAACAGCTCTAACGGTTTTCAATTTTCAATCAATTAAAATAAATAAATGAATGCATATATGGAAATTTGTTAAATGTTTAATACAGCAATTTTTCCAGGTCTTGTGCCAGATGTTGAACCATGAGTGAGGAACATGTTTCAGTTTGTACTGTTAGCTCCAGCTACTCCATCTAGTCCCTTCATTCACTACAGTTTTGCACCATGACGGAGAAACAACTGTCCCAACTGTCCCACATAGTTCTCATCCAACAACACAAGCAAATGGATAAAATGGGGCATCACAGTTATTGTTACTTGTTGTTTATTGCAATATCGTGGGAAAGCTTATGATATGGTGGCGAGGCTCACGATTAGGAATATAACAATATCCAAATCTCTCTGTACAATATTTTCACAATATATACGTCTCATGGTATATTTATTGTGATATTTTGTGGAGGCTAAACAGCTAAAACTGTTAATATGCCAATTTTTCCTATTGACAAGACATAATCCAAAGAACTAAGACTTAAAAGTACTTAGAAGTGTTATTCCTTCTTGTAGTCTACACATGAAATGGAGCAAAGGATCATGGTCTATGTAGTTCCCTCTGTCTTTTTTTCACTATTGCTGCATTTAAGCAAAGAGACTTGTAATTCGGTATATTGTGATGGTCCACAATAGTATTGTTATATATATATATATATATATATATATATATATATATATATATATATATATATATATATATATATATATATATATATATATATATATATCATACTTTGACAATATTATATCATATTTTGTTAATTGTTACATCCCTACTTTTTAACAATTTTTTTAACAATGGTATTTTTTCCTGAAATCGTAGGATGTAGTTGTATAATTTCTTCCTTATTTCAATTTGGTATCTGTGCATATGACATGAAATACTGCATTTACAAGTTAGTTTTGCCACTATTTTACTACAGGATATTTTTATAGAATCCAAAATGACATAACTGCATTAATGCCTTGAATTTGCAGATGATAATGAAAACAAAATATTACTAAATGTAATTGTATGTTTGTGTCCTTTGCTTTACAGGAAAAGCGAAAACGACAAGCAGAAATCGAAGACAAAAGACACCAGCTGGATGACCTGGTGCTGCAGCTACAACATGTCAAGGTTGGTGTGGGCACTTGTTTGGGTTTAGTTTTGTATCACTTACAGAATGTGTTGAAAATATGATTCAAAGTTCAACTGAGAGTCTTACAAATCCTCCTGGGACTACTCATTTTGTTGGCTAAATGTGACACAGATTCTGAACACTTATTTACACATGACTTCTATTTTTGTAGTGCTATTTCTAGTTCTGCTTTTGGAGCCGCCGGACCACTCCAATGTGTTAGATAATGGTTTACACTGTCAGATTATCTATTTTTGAAGCTTCAGTTTGTGTCTTTTTAAGAAGCAAATCCACATATTCAATCAAGACACTCTGAATGTCGTATATGGTGTAAGCCTGGAATTTGATGTATTCTTATAATCCACCATTGCAAAGTATGGGAACAGAAAAATTTTCATAAATTGGTTAGTTATAATCCTTTTGTGAACTGTATGTGGCCAAGGTTTTCCACAAATTATTGAGACTTTTTTTTTCTTTCTTTTTTTTAGACATAATGAAAAAAAAAAAGACAAAAAAAACCCCTCCCAGAACGTTCCAGTCTCTCCACACACAAAACTACACACAAAAAAAAAACTAAAATACTGGGAGTACAAACATTAATAGTCAAGTCCAACAAATTTTAAATATTTAGTTCAAATTTGAGGTTAGGTTAGCACACCAGAACAAATGTAGCTATGTTTGATTATACAGAGATACTCTGTTCATTTTGTATTTTTAAGTAAAGCACAATATGACTGTCTTAAGCGTTGACAAGATAAACTACTGGTCATTTTAGGTTGAAGGTAAGACAGACAGTACAGACGAACTCTACAACACATTTTTTTTCCTACAGCTGACAATAAATGCACTCACCCGAGAACCATTCTAGAAGTCCAGTGCCTATTTGTTATACCTTACCCGATATCTGACCACACTGGACCTTGACCCAGCAACCCACTGTGCGTTCCCTTACAACAGCATACTAATGCATGTCTTATTCATGTTGATTGCTTCAGTTCAGTTCCATTTATTTTTGTAGCAGCAGCAGTCACCTCACAGGGCTTCACAAAATTATTGATTTAGCCAACAGAAAGTTAGAAAATCAAACAGTGAAACAGTGGTTGGTCAATAACAGACAAGCAGATGGAGAAAACTAGGACTGAACCAGGACTGAACCAGGACTAAACCAGGGCAAACCAGGACTGAACCAGGACTGAACCAGGACTAAACCAGGGCAAACCAGGACTGAACCAGGACTGAACCAGGACTGAACCAGGACTAAACCAGGACTGAACCAGGACTGAACCAGGACTGAACTAGGGCAAACCAGGACTGAATCAGGACTGAACCAGGGCTGAAGCAGGGCTGAAGCAAGGCTGAAGCAGGGCTGAAGCAGGGCTGAAGCAGGACTACACCAGGACTGAACCAGGACTGAACCAGGGCTAAACCAGGCTAAACCAATTTCTTAAATTGCAAAAACATTTATTTTTGGGTCCCTACTATGAAATTTTTAATCAGCAATCTATCCAGTGTAACTAGTAATACATAAGCTGTAAAGGATTTGATAATTATGACGCATTATACACTATATTACATTTACCCACATACATATACATATTACATTTCAGGTTCTGTGTTATTGTTCTTCATATTTATAGCTGCTCACAAAATATAGGCACACTTTAACTTGAGATATCACTGAGGTAACAGCATTAGTGTTATAAAATGGTCTCCAGTATTTCATTTCAAAAGTGTTTTGCTATTTTTACACCATTAAATTGGACTTAAAATGTATTGACAGGTAAAAAGTACAAAATTGGATGATTCATGCTTGGTCGAGTACAATTTGTTTTGGCTGAACGGGATAGAAAGAGAGAGATCTGACACTTTGACTGCTTCAGAAAAAAAACATCAGAATCCAGTGCACACAAAGTGAACCCTGGGTAATGACTGCCAGGCGCTCCCACAGAGACGCCTTTTAATTTCAGTAAACACAGGCCCGATGCGCTAATAATCAGGGAGATGTTTATAAGGCTGAGAATGTGGCCAATTTGGAAATGTCAACAGCACACAGGAAGGGGGGGATTTAAAACTTGAAGTAAAACAAAGTGAGAAGGATTTTGTTTAGATTCTGTCAGGTGGAAAGAAGGTATTATTCAAAGTGAATGTGAAATTGCTTAAGCCAAGTTAGGCAGTAGTAACATCCTATCACTTTGTTCTTCAAAACAGTAGCATATTTAAAGGAGCACTATATAATACAATCAAATTATTTCAGTTCCAATACAGATATCAATACTATGGCTTTGATTAACTGCAGTATTAGTATCAGTATAGTATTAACTGATACTATGGGCAGAAAATGGCAAAATATTCAATTGTTATTTATCCTTCAAATCACTACTGCACAAATTAGCATGAATAAATGTTCAAACCAAAATCATCTTGTAAATAGTCTTGCTACATTTAATTAAAATCCCACCAGATTATTGGCTAAACTGATACCATGGAACTGATACATGATCTAGCAAATTTTTCATTATCAGCACTGATATTCGTGCCAGTATCAGTATTGGTGCATCCCTATCATGGATACAATAGATGGCACCACCAAGTCAAGTTACAGGTCATATATCTTAAGTATATGAGCAATAAAAACATATGTAACTGAATTATCGCAAGCTTGATAAGTTTAATGTCATACTGTGGGGAATTGCAAAAAAGTGACGTAGTACTCCTTTAAGTGGAGGTTTCCAACTATGTAGTATGTGTGCTGAACCATCTTGGCACTGTTTCGTTTTTTCCACATTGAGTTTTCAAGATGTCCAGGAGCATTAGCGTTTGTGAACAGACCGAAATATGAACTGTTAAACTAATACAAAAACCTCATGCATTTGGCAACATACATGTGTAGAGGTCTAAACTACAGCGTTAGCAGATTTGAAAACGATAACACCCCACAGAGACTGAATGGTTTGTTTTCTCTGCAATGAATACTACCTAAATAACTTCAGCCTTTACCATTTTTATAATGTAGATTTGATTGTGAACATCATTTGCTGTAGATTGTGTAATGTCTCTGTGTTTATTATTATTATGCCTTAATTCGCTTTGTACAATCACAGAACATATTAGTGGTCAAATTTCAACATATTTAAAGGAGAAGAAGTTTGTTTACAGACATTAGACAATTCTCTACTGTAGGACTATTATTGTTGTTCCGTGCTATAAAATTTGTTGCATTCCAAACAGAAAATAAAGTTTCTTAAAGTTTGGCAAAATATCAAACTAAATAAAAGATAAAAATTTATGTATTTTGAATTTTGACTGCATAACTGTCACTACTGTATTTTTCAGACTATAAGTTGCACTTTTTTCATGGTTTGCGTGGTTCTGCAACTTATACTCCAGTGCGACTTATATATTGAAATTTTCAGACTGCGAGAGGTCCCTCTAGGCTTGTGTGTCAGTATCTATTACCCCTTACCAGTGTCACTTCGCATTCTACTGCTCATGTCTCCTGTAGAAAAAGCCGTTGTTCTGCTGCAAATAGTGAAATATGCAGCCGAAAACGGTAATTGAGCAGTAGAAAGAAAGTTTGTAAGCGAGAAATTTGCGAGGGACTGGCAGAAAGCGGAGATGGAGAGAACGCAGCTTTACGGCAACCGGGTCGCGCCATGCAACTTTCCTGGAAATCACTGGATAAATCGACAAAGCCTGAACTTCAATGACAACCGAAACCATTCTGTCAGGATTCAGAAAGGCCGGAATAATTCTAACTGGAACTGATGCTGAGTCTGACGACAGCTACACAGAAGAGGAAGCGGTGCTCCATTTACCTCATGGATCTATGGTTTATCTCTGGAGGTCACGCAGAAGTGACACCGAGGATGAAGAATTCAATGGATTTGTTGATTTGGAGTGAGACTGGGAGTTTGATAAGCTTATGTTCTGTTGTTTATGCTATAATTATCTGAATAACTGTTAATATGTTACTTTAACATATTAATGCCTATTAAGCCTGTTATTGTGTTGTTATTACTATAACTTGCTTTTCAAGATGAAATGTCGGTTCCTGGTCTCTGATTTTATAAAATACGTTTCCCCAAAAAGTGCGACTTATAGTCCGGTGTGACGTACATATATTTTTTCTTCTTCATTGCACATTTTTTGGTGCGACTCCGAAGCGACTTATAGACTTATACTCTGAAGCGACTTATAGTCCAGAAAATACGGTAATTGCCAGCTTTGTCTGAATGATTTGAGATTAGGCTCTATTATGAACAGTAGGGCTGTAGTCGACCAAAGAAATTCTTGCTCTGATCGATAGTTGATTGAAAAGGGGCATGGCAAAACTATTCAAAACTATTATGTATCTATATTGATAGACTCCAATTGCACAGGACTTAATGCAAAAACTAAGCCTCCATTTACCAATTAATGTAAAGGCATAAAGCACTACTGAACAAGTCTGATTATTAATATTTTCCCCTATAATCATTGACCAAGGGGCAGAAGTATTTTACAGCTGTGCTTTTATGAAACTTAGCACAGATGTTGGGCGTATTCACGTGTTCTGTTGACCCTGATTGTACCACATGTATTGATGGTGATGGTAACCAGCCCAGTTCAACCTATAAAAATACATTCCATTCTCTAATTGGAACCATTGGCATGTATTTGTGCTTTATTGAAAAAGTCTGAGTTTTAGTGGCTGGTATTTTCCAAAGTCTAACACCCATTTATAGAAATATTACGTTGACAATAAAAGCCATATGTACCAAGAAAAAATGCATTGCTGGTGCTCAGATCACATTAACATTATACTTGCATTTAAAGGTGCCCTATGTCACTTTTATGGTTGTTTCCCTGGAGATGTAGTTTTGGTTGTTTGCCTGGAGATGTAGTTTAGGAATATTCTACAGTATGGCATTAAAGAGGGAGTATTATGCAAAAATTTACTTTTTTGACCATGTTATAACATCAAAACATGCCTGAAGAGGTTTTATGTCATCCATGCAGG